AAATGTCTTTCCAATCTTCTGCTGTCTACTTTTGGTGAGTCCATATAAATTGCAGCCTCAGTTTCCTGTTCTTAGCTCACTGGAGTGATACCCAGTGCCGTCTTCTGCTGCTGTCCATCTGCTTAAAGGTTTTGCATGTTCTGCATACCTTGGTTGAAACAATTGAACAATGACAAACTTCTTGAATCTTGAATCTCATAAAACATGCCATGCTGAAAGGTGGGTGCACAATAAATAACACGTTTAAAAGTCTGTCGCTCATTCTGCAATCTGAGTCATGCTGATTTATGATGTTCATAATCACCCTGTAATTTTCTATCCTGAGCGCCGCATAGACAAATCAGTGTGAATAAAATTATATAAGCATTGCCGAGAGAGAAGCCGACATATGAACACACTACAGAAGGGAGTGGCAATTTCCAGATGTTTATTTAGTTGTATTATTCCCACACTCACATAAAGTTCTATAGAAAAACCCCAAAACACCCTTCTATGCTTGTGAAATTGGTTTTAGCCTTGTAGTTATGTGAGGTCAGCGTACATGTATGTTCACACATGCACTCCAGCACACATCCCTGCTTGTGCTGTGTTTTGAGGACAAACACTCTGTGCAGGCTTCTCCTAGATAGCTATAGGGGCTTTATCTGCAGTTGACAATGCAAACAGCAGTTTAACTGATTTTGCTCTGTAGTCAGATTGAACAGGCTGAGCCCAAAAGAAGCTTAGAGGTGATAATTATATTAACCAAGATTAAAATAAAGACACGGCTCATGTACCTGCTAGTGCAAATGTTGGTATGCTATCTCTGTTTACTTACGCTTAATAGTGTTTATACTGCACTTGAACTTATGGTTTTACCCAGCACGGCTAAAGTTTCCAGCACACATATGTAAGTCTTTATGAAGAGGGGATTTTATGCCTCAGACTCCCAGAAAAAACTCTATGTGAGTTATAACCATAGTGGCATCCCAGAGCACTATATCACAGGATTGCATAAGATCAAACACACACCCACACACATTTGGAAAGATATTTCCACAGACACTGACAGGACTGACGTGTTCTTTTTTAATTTTAGATTCTAGCCTTTATAGGCAGAAGAACCCCCCCCCCAAACAAATAAAATAATCTTTCAATTTTTAACCATATATCCATACATATATACATATATTTGAGTGACATGTTCATCTGCGCAGTTACCACCTATGTAACTGTTTAAATAATAAAATCCAATGTAGGCAAATGAGGGTAAGAGGAAAAGCTGGAACTAAACGATTTTAACCTTTCACCTCCTCTCTCTCTGTCCTCTCCTCTCTTTTTTCCATGTGTCCCTCTCACACCTGTTCATGTCAAGTGTCAGACCCGTGCGCACCACTGATTCGTTCCAGCGCGCACACATGTGCCAGTTTAGACACACTACTCGACACCAGCAAAGGGAGGCCGGTGGAGGACAAGGGCAGTAGGACAGAGTGTGTAACATGGTTCGATAAGTATTCACTATTGACTTTTGTTGCCCACTCTGTCTGCCCGTGTGTGTGTGGTTTGACAGTGTGGTAGTTTTAATGCATGTTTGCTATTACACAACGTCCACAGATCTGACCATGCATTAGCAGATAGGGGAGAATTTCATCACATTGAGAGAGACAGATAGATAATAAGTGGACACTTGTGCTTCTGCACAGAGGCTAGTTTATGATGCCCTTTGGGGACTTGAACCTGACTGCACACCAACCCATAGGGACTTATATCACAGTGAGGACGAAAACAGGTCTTTACATCTGTACTTGTGAGGAGTGATTTGAATTTTTGGTTTTTTTAAGTTTTAGGCAGGAAATTACACTTGACCTGTATACACATCTCAGAGTGACGTTTTCAGGACTGGATGTTAGTGTTAAAGTTAGAATTAGTTTGAAATGATTTTTGACATGGTGAGAAATGCTTTCATGCTAAGAGTTGAATTAGAAAATTATAACACTCTCATTCAAAGTAGTCTCTCTAAGTAGGGCCTTATTTTAGGAGCGTACTTGGACAATACCAGGAGCGTTGTCAGCTAAGACTACAGCTGAATCCACACAGGAAGCAGCTAGCATCCAGAGCCATTGGAAGGATGGTATTGATAAGAGCTGCACCGTCTTCAATCTCTCCAATGGACCATTTTCAGTTAAAGCAATGGTGGCTCATCACAAGCCTCGCAATATTTCTGAAGGTTTCCAATATATGGTGACAAATATAGCAGCACAGAAGTGTGAGATACATTTTTGAAAGGTGGGAAGTTAAAAACAAACAAACAAACAAGTCTGTATGTTATCACCACACATTTCAACTGCCTGCTAAGCCTTTGCAGGAACTATTTGAAAGCTACATGAACCACATGACAACTTTGATTTCTGAACGCCCGCTAACAGGACTCTGACTTACTCAGGGGCTCTGCTTGCATCCATGTAGACCACAGAACGCTAAAGAATTAGCTTTGAAGGAATTATTTGATGTATGGTTTGTGTTTTGTGACAATATTTGGACAACACCAGGAGAGTTGCCAGCAATTGGGGCCTAGAACATCCACTAGGGACCAACTGTCAGCTTCAAAGCAATGTGCTTCTTCCTGCTTTCTGTGGGGACACAGCCTAACACTAGTTAGCTAGCTTGGTTAGCCTAGATACTTCACAATGGTATTAAATGAGACTAATCTACCAAAAACTGCGTTCTTTGAGTAAAACTGAAACATCAACCATCTGTAACTCAAAAGCTTAATAATACAGACCTGAGTACTATAAAAAACACATGAGTACTATTTTTAAAAAAGGAGGAGAAAAAACACAGCTGTAATGGGAAACCTTGGGAAATATTCCATTCAACCTAGTCCAGCACAAGCTACAGCTAAAGGTTTTTCATTTAAGCTTTTTTCTTTTCTGGAAAAAGATTTTTTTTTTTTAAACTATGTTAACTAGAGAGGTTTATATGTGCTCCCTGGTGTACTTTTTTAACTCCATTATCTCCAGTTTTATTGTGACTACAGCATAAATGCTCCAACTATGCATGTGTCCATCAAGCAGACTCCAGTGGACTTATAAAAGTATAACTAGAATGACTGCTTGTGCTTGGCATCTGCAGCTGTCTGAACTTATCTTTGGACAGATGCCTTGTCTAAATAGTTACTCTAGGTTCTGTGCTAAGCTAATATTTTATTGCCTGGATCTCTCCGCATTTTTCCTAAAATGCTGCTCTATTCCTATTTAGCTTGTTTCTGCTGTATGATCAGGAACTACGAGAGCAATGAAAAGACTGAGGAACAATGTGCTTCCATCAGTGAAGTCTTGCCCTCTGTGTTCCTGTTTTTAATCTCCCAAATGTGTTCCCCAAAAGTGTTTCAGAAATGGATGGATGGATGGTACCTTTTCTGTCAGGAAACTCCACATTTGGTGGAGTATTTGCATTTTCTGCACCAGGAAGATGTCTGACTCCAAACATAACAACAAGGTGTATTTATTGAGTCTTACAATGCAGTTATTATGCTATAACATCTGGATCTGATTCTCCGGACTCTGCAAAGTTTCCCTTTCGCACATGCAGCAAACTAAGGCAATCCACTTTGTCAGATGTGTTGTTGCAAAAGCCAGAAATTCCCATTTAGCTTGGTAGAGCTGAAAGAGAAATGACTCATGACATCCACTAACTTGCTGTGAAGTCTGCAGACAAGGACCTGCTCTGTCCTCCAAGAGGTCTACCGAGATATTGCGTGGACTTTGTAGCAGGGATCTGATAGGGATCTGAATCAGAGTGGTCTGCTTTTACTTTCACCTGTGTCACGTCTAACAAAATGAAAAAAGTGTCATGGGGGGGACCCTAAGATAATGCTGCCAATTACAGAAAAATCTGGAATTTAACAAAAGGAAAATTCCTAAAAATAAATAAATAAATAATGACACTGGAAGGCTGGTCTTTGATCCACCTATTCCTGGGACATTTGAGACTTCCCTGGTGAAGGCACAGTCTGCTCGACACGCTAACAGCTGCAGGAAAGAGAAATCATGTAAATGTATTTGCTCGGGTGAAAATCACCCAGCGATAGTGTTCTGGGGTTAATACAGATCAATTCAATAGCAACAAATCACAGCAACAATCACCTGAAGGCGCTTTGTATTGCAAGTTGTTTGAAACTGTAATCAAACAACCCTATGAACAAGCAATTTGTCAACAGGGAAAAACTACCTTTTAACAGGAAGAAACCTCTGGCAGAACAAGGAAGGGGCAGCAATCTCTAACCGGTTGGAGGTGAACACGTTTTGTATTTGTGTCTAGAAAACAAGCACTATAGTAACACACCAGCACTCTTATCTTCACAGTCATAACTGCAACACACGTCTGCCAGCATACTCGGACCTGTATCTGTGTTTACAAGCACTCTCACAAACACACATACACATTTGGTTACACTTTTCACACTTTGGTGAGCCACATTTAGGTCATCAAAAATAACCGGCAAACCACACAGTGCAGGTGGATGGAAACCCCCCAGGTGGAGAGACCAGAGATGAGGAGAACAACTAGGGAGTAAAAGTAGGGCAGAGAAAATACGACATTTACAACCAACAGCTGCACAAAAAAAAAAAGACTCAATGGTGGGCCTCTTTTCCCTCAGGCTCACCTCCTCGTACTCCTCCACCTCCTCCCCATTGACTTCTCCACTCTGCCCTTTCTCCCTCTTCTTTGATTTCTCTACTAAAGCCCTCTCTGATCCTTCTCTTTATTATGGCTGATAATACGCACAGAAAGCAGATGCAAACAAACCTTTCAAGCAATTCAAACACAATTTATTTGCATGGCGATCACTTTGACAAAACCAAGGCTATCACGTGTTCTCTTTTTGCTCCCCCCCTCTCCTCCCCACCCCCCGCCCGGCAGTCTGTGGGTGACACAGACTGATGACATCACGAACAGCCGGTACATTCAGCCAGTAAGATCACAGCAAAGCTGGTGGTGCTTACATTACTCCCCCTGTCTCTTTCTCTCGTCTCTCATTCTGACGCTCCCCTGCTTTGCCGCCTCTCTCTCTCCCTCACACACACACTCACACACACCGTCTTTCTCTCTCGCCCTCATTCCTCCGCACCGCTGCAGACATGGTCGATGCTTTCGTTGGCACATGGCTCCTCAAGGAGAGCGATAAATTTGATGATTACATGAAAGAGCTGGGTAAGTGTTCCGTGTATTTCTATTTCTTTCTTCTTCTGTTTTTTTTTTAATGCATGCACATTGCGCAGGGGAGTGTGCGCGCATGCGTGTGAAACAGAGGATGCAGCAGTAGTGCCAGTGCTGCAAGCGAGCGCATGTTGAGACAGGTTTGAGGCGAGCTGAATGGTATAAGGTGTGTTTCATATGTAAACTGTTTTAAGTAGCTTGTTGATACAGGGTGTGGGAAAAAATGATCAATCATGGGAGCAAATAAGGGAGGCTTCAAATGGAGAAATAAAGGGGTAGGCTGTAGAGTAAAGGGTGGAGCGAAGCGTAGGTTGGGAACAGAAATACAGCAGGAGAAGATGGGCACCAGAGGGAGGGAGGAAAAAGAGGAATCATGGCTGACCACATGGGCCAAGTGCTGGAAAGGAGGGAGGACCCCCCCTTTTCTTTTTTGAGTGAAGAAAAAAAAATCAGCCCCACTGTGGGAATCACTGAATGGCATTCATACACACAGACACACACAGTGTAGTATAATGTGGGTGACCTTCGCTGAAAGCTGTTCATTGTGTGAGGTCATGGGAGGAGCTGAATATCAAGCTGGAAGGAGGAGCTGGTGGGACGGGAACATGGAGATATAGTTTGGCTCCTGGCACACACATGGCTGTGGAGCGTGGAATGGAGGCAGGTGGATGGAGTTTGTTTTACAGCTGTGTAGAGCCACATCACCATCGACGTATTTCCTCTGATCACGGTAACAAGCAGACGCCCTTTAACCTCTAACCCCAGTCCTTTTAATCGATGAGGCATCTACACACACATGTGCTATGGGAATGTCGCTGCTGTAAATGAATTGGGTTGTTAACTTCAAACAGAAACAGATTTTTTTTCCCTTCAGTACAAGAAATGGTGTGAATCACGTTTACCCAGAGAAACAAATTCACTCAATCCCTCATACACACACAAACGCACACCAGGAAAGCAGGTAATAATTTGCACACACACACATGCCCAAACAGGCACTCTCCCAGGTCGGAGGGACTCTGCAGTGTTTGAAGAACGTGCAGCACGCTTAAGTGGCTGATAAAGGAGAGATTAGAGGGCATGTCAGATGAAGGGCAGCCCGGGGGCAAACCAACGGCTTTTGCTCTGGATGTGCAACAACATATTCCTTTCGGTATCTGTATACACTCCCAGGACGTTTCCTTTAAGTCGGGTTAGAATATCTCAACATCTGCTTGATACACTGGTACAACCTTTGCCCCTATGTGAGAGGATCAGTGCCAGCGGCAGAGAAACAGGTTGAGTCTCTGCCTCACCTTTAGACTTGTTTATTTCCCACGGGGATAATCCACCCTCAGCACACCTCACCTGACTTACCTGGTTGTTTTAAATTTGTGTTGTTACACAGGCGTGGGCTTCGCTACACGGAAAGTGGCCAACCTCACCAAGCCCACCACCATCATTTCAGTGGACGGCGACACGGTGACGCTGAAGACTCAGAGTACCATGAAAAACACAGAGCTCAGCTTCAAGCTGGGAGAGGAGTTTGACGAGACAACCGCCGACGACAGGAAGGTCAAGGTGAGAGGTCAAAGGTCCAATTTGAACAATGCAAAACCTTGCATTTAGACTTTTATGAAAGAGGTTTTAAGCAGGCTTCGTATGAGGTAAGGAGAAGTCTGCTGGAACCTCCCTGCACACTGGAGAAGTAACCATACAGAAATATGGTGTGATAATTAAAGTGCACGGGCTGATGGATCGCCGTGGAAACAGTCGTGATGGGATGACATAAAGCTTTGGGAAAGAGATAAAGTTGAGTGCGCGGTAGCGTTTAAAGGGAACGTTATGGGGGAAAGGAGCATACACTTTAACTAAATGTATACTGCAGAGTGTTTGCTGATGGAAAGAAGCTGTGGCTATTGCGAGCTCACATTCAGACTGATGTCTCTGTGGGCTGTTGCACGAGCACATGAATTACCCAACAAGTCGTTGTCGTCCTCTCTGATTGCACAGTTCCTTTGCGTTGCATTCTTTTATATGTAACTTTAGGTATTTTTTTTACAAGCTTGCCATGAGATGGGAAAAGTGCGGTAGCTGCCTGTAAAGATGTCTGCGCAATGGTGAAGCGCACAATGAAATAACAGAAAGCCGAACCACTGATTTAAATGAGCCTCACTCGCTCGCTGGATGTGTGTCTGACTCTCGTTTCTGCTCCCCGCCAGTCTATTGTCAAGATAGAGGACGGGAAGCTGGTGCACATTCAGCGGTGGGACGAAAAGGAGACCAGCCTGGTCAGGGAAGTCAACGGCAACGTTCTCTTGCTGGTCAGTAACCCCCCCCCCAAAAAAAGAATAATTCAAATGTAACTTCTGTATGTATGTGTATGTAACTTCTCTTCTCTCTTCAAACAGACACTCAAACTCGGAGAGGTTGTTTGCACGCGTCGCTACGAGAAGGCAGAGTAAAGAAAAAGAAATCCCACAACATTTCAGCAGCTACCTGCATCAACTAAAATCCCGCATCCCAGACTCCTTAACACTTCTTCAAAACAGGCCAAAAAGAAAAACAACCCCACCTCCTCATATGGCTGCTATCGACCCCCGTCATTGTCCCTTTTAGTATTAATTTAGTATTGACTGTGACCTCCGACTCCTTTTCTTCCTCCCCACCTCCTTTATACGTTGTTCATTCTACTGTAAGAAACACTGAATAAATTCCATCCATTTTTTTGATGTTTGTTTCTCTGTAAGACTCCAGGTCTGCATTTCTTCTCTTTTTTAAGAATGTGGCCTGGAAGAACATGTTGCCTGGAAAAGTGTTTGAAAAGTTTTCCTGTGGAGTTCTGATACGTTTCAAATAAAAGTGTCTACACTGATGGATAGACTGGAGGAAAAAAAATGCTCCCTGGATGTGTTTTTCTTTGTTTTAATGACGGTCCGTAGCCCAGAGGTACAAGAAACGTTGCTCAGGAAAAACTGATCTGGGATCTAAATGATCAATTTAAAGCTTTATTCACGGAGGCTGATTGCGAGGTTGATCTCGTGCATTCAGGGCTGTATTCGAGGCGGATTGAGCGTGAAATTGTTCCAATCTGAGCTGTACTTTTAAACAGGAGGGTTGAAGAGTTCAGTAGTCCAACACAACTATAGACTCGAGATGTGTGACCACATTTTCCATCACAGTGGGCTTTAGAGGGACTCACATGGAGGTTAATTATAGCCTCTTAGCAGCTCCTGTGTGTGTGCACAGATGAGTGTGGATCTTGCCTTTGCCCTGGTGAGGTTAAAGGAAAGTTGAGGTAAAGCTTGTACTTGTGTGGATAATGTTATGTCCTGTACTTGAATTAGGCCTGTGCATGTGCTGTCTAAATTCATATCATTCCTTCCCGGGGTACACTGGTGTCATGTGCTAGTGACGCACTGCCAACTAAATGCAGGGTAAAGGGGTGAAAGGGCGGAGGAGGAGCCCAGGCCACCTCCTGCTGCGACTGCCTCCTAAAGTTACCCGGAGCTGAAATGGTTGAGGAACGAATGGATGGAGTAAGGGTAGAGATTATGGATGCGGCTGTTTTTGCGCACTGTACCTGCAGTGTGTTGAAAATTTTGCAGAGTAAACACAAACAAAGCAAATGAGCAGAAAAGCTGTTTCCAGGACCTTGTTGAATCTGCCAAGAAGAATTAAGGCAGCTCTGAGCACTAAGTGACACAGTTTGAGCCACTAACATACAGGTGTGAGAGGTCCTCTTGCAGGGTAAACCTGGTCTGAATTTTCTTCACGTCGCCATGACACCATGTTGATGTGGCTTCACAGCTCCTGAACAGAGCACAGTTGATTTTATGCAAAGCTCATCCAAAACTGTAATCACGCTGGAGATTACAGTTTAACTATAACTATACATTTACATTTTCAAACTTTGGATTTTTACTACATTTCTGCAGAACAGCTTTTTTATTATGCTCACTCACGGGGCTGTTTTTCATTTTATGATACTAACCCAAACACATATATCATATATAGGTATGTACAGTGCATGTGCAGCGTAGCACACTGTATAAACTATACAGTCATAGTGCTCGGTGCTTTGTGGATTTGAAACATCACAAGGCTGATACAGTACCTGGATCATACTAGTAATTCCAATTTGAGCAAACGATAACGACCAATGTGTCACAATCATTCGGCTCATGCTTGAAAATCTTTTCACGGCTAGTTTGAAAACTGACATCTGGAGCTCAAAAGTGTTGTTAGACAAATTTACAGATAACAACTCCGTGCTGTAAAACAGGGAGGGAACAGCCAAGAGGAACAGCCGTCGACAGATACACTGTGCAATCAGGATAAGACATCAACGTGTCTGCTAATTACTTCAGAACTACACTGGATTGAAAATCAAGAATAAGAACTAATAAAAATGCGATAATAACTCTAAAACACAAGGTTTTTATTTTAAAAAAAGTTTCCTCTAGCTGCCTTTAAACAATCTTTTTCCAAATCATTTAACATCTTAAAACATAATGTGTCACCTATTCCAGGTACACTCTGCACAGAAAAAAACAACATAAGATCAACCCAAGGTTAAAATTAAAGCCTGCAGTTCATTGTAAATGAATGCAGAATCCACAGTTTACTGCAGTTGTAATCCAGGTATGTGTATTAATGCAACACTTCTGGGTGTGCAGTCATGCCGAGTGTCTCATACGACTGTCAGAGCAGAGAAAGGAAAAGAAATAGAGAACATTTTTGAGATTAAGCGGTAAACTAAACCCGCTGACGGTGGATCGCACTGGAGCTGTTTCAAACCGCCGCAGCTGGAAGCGATCTCACTCCGCAGCCTCACAAGCAGAAGCTTGAAATTGGGTCAAAGCAGCAGAGAAGAAGAAACAAGATGTTGGGCCTCTAACCCTGATAAAAAACAAAAACTTGCGTGACATAACCTGGGCTCTATGCTGTGTAGGGGCGCCTGTCCAGGCTTTAAAACATTAACTGGTTATGGGTGGACCAGAGCTTGAAAAATTCCACTGCGTGTGCGTGTACATGTGTTTTGGTCCTCCAAGGACGGCAACATTAGGAGTTCAAGGTCTTTGAACAAAGAGATCGTGAGACATTTTGTTACCTTTACAGATAAAAATAGTTTTAATGGAGCAAACAGTGGACATGCAGGAAGACGGCTGGGTGTACTTTAAAGCGTCTCCTCGAGGTGAGACTCGCAAACACACACAAAAAAACAAAACAAAACCAGCAGACAACCTCAGGCTATCGTGTTATTACACTACTCTAAAGCTCATTTGTGGTGCCTTACACTTCCTGTTTATGTCTTAACTATTTCTTGTGTACGTGCGTGTCTCCCTTCTCCTTTTTTACCCTCTCGCTTGTGTAAAATGGATTTCCCAGATCCTAAACAGCTGTAAACAATATCGGGGTTTTGGAAAGGGATAGCCACTTGCCGCCATATCGATTGCACCTATCTGATTACACAGTGTGGCAGACTCCTCCCTTTATGGAGGGGTAACTTCAGGACAAGTGGAGATTATCACATGTTTGTATTTACAGCGCTTCCCTTCAAGTTTTGAACTTGACAGACAGTGAATGAAGGTTTAGATATTAAAGCTGGAAGTCTTTCTCTCAGTCTGCTGCCAACCACGTTCACCCTGTGTTTGTCTCAGCTGTGTTTGTGCGATTTGTGCTTTTTGTGTTTCTTCTTCTTCTTGTCGTCTCTGTCACGCTCGTGTTCTTGCCGCCTCCTCTTGGATTTACATTCACTGCTGCTGCTGCTGCTGCTGTCGCTCTCAGACTCCTTCCTCTCCCTTTTCTTACTCTTCTTCTTTGCTTTCTTTTCCTGGAGAATAGGCATTAAAAACAAAGAAGTTGCACAAAAAAGCAGTTTCAATACCTCAAAACCCAAACACAAAGTATGTTCCTCTTAAATCAGCACAAAAATCATTTTTCCAGGCAACAGACTCCCAATGTGGTCACCACCGCATGTCATGCAGAGAGACATGTGGGGGTTGTTGCATCAGATGAAAGAGAGAAAGAAAGAATCAGCAAAGGAAAGGTAGAGCGGAAAAGGAAGCGAGAGCTGCGCAGGGCTTTAAAGGTCACATTGTCACCTTCTTTTTCTTCTTTTTGTCTGAATCTTGATGTTGTGCGGCTGTAGATGGTTGCTGCTGTGGCTCTTCATCGTCCTCTTCAGGCAAGAGAGCGTACTGCAGGCCAGGAGCAGAGAAACAGTCCTTTGTAAAGTGACCTGAAGAGAGTAATAATTTATTTAACAACTGCAGTGTGAATTCAAACAAATCAGCCATCTGTGTGAAGCAAGCACAGTCTCTTTGACACATTACATGACTCATGATGTCACCTCACCCTTGCAGCCGCACTTTGAACACGTTGTGTTGAGCACAGCCTCCAGCGTGATCCTGTTGCTGGTTTGGTCTCTAAACTGCTTACGCCGCCTTGAATCCTGCCTATAAACACACACACACAGATGTTAACAACACACACACACCTGTTCAGACACATGAAAACACACACAATGAATCCGTAAGCACTTACTCTGCCATAACATTGTTGGGGTCCAAGTCCCGCCCTGTTCCCTGATTGACAGCTTTCATGGAGAAAGACAGCTTCACCTTGTCACCCTGAATCTGATGAGCAGAGGAAGAAGCTGTAAACTTTCTGCTCTGTGTGTGCACTTCTGTGACTATCTTTATGAGAACCCGGTTGAGTTTGAGCCCACTGGAGTGGCAGTTTCTGACACCTTTTCAGGTTTAAGGGTAAAGGGGGGCTTTTAATGCAGCCTTTCTGGGGTTTGGAGTTGAAGAATACCTTCATTTAACAAATGTTGTCCAAAACACGTGTGATATTGTTACCTCTCTCCCTATGACTTTAATCCACACATGTTCTCCCACATCCACAATTTCTGAAGCGTTCTCCACCCGGGAAGCTGACATCTCACTCACATGTACCAGACCTGTGAAAGCAAAGGACAAATCTCATTTACTTAGATATCACCTAAAATACATTAATACTTTCAAAAGTCTTAAGCAAACCCTCATGTCTTTATATTTGGAACCAGACTTTCTTTCGTAATTTATAAAACGGTCTTGAGCAACAGTTCTTCAGCCTTTTCTGAAGGCCAAATGCCACATTACACAAGAAGTGGATTGAAAATCAGTTGCAACAGGTCTTATTAAGTTATGAATCCAAAATTTATTTATTTTTTGTTCATATCGTTGTCAATATGTACAGAGAAGGTCATGAGAAAATACAAGAGTGTCTACAACCATCTGTAAAACATGATACCAATGCAGCAAAAGCATACCCAGATAGAAAAACTTATAATGCATAACCATTATACCAGTCATGGATTAGCCTCCCACGAGCTCAGATTTCAGCATTATTGAAACAGTGTGGGAGAATGGAACAAACAGCAGCCAACATCCAAAGAGGAGCTTTGAATGTCCTTCAAAAAGCCTGGAGAACTATTCCTGAAGACTACCTAAAGAAAGTTAGGTAACAGAGTTAAGACTATGTTGTGAAATATAAATGTGGTTATAACAAATATTAACTTTTGAGCTCATTAGAATTGTACAAACTCTGTATTTCCCTTCATGTTTGCACAGGTTTGAATAAATCACTGCACCCATTTTCAGCAAAACATAAAGAAATAAGGAGTGGCTCAAGACTTTTGTACAGCACTTCATGGTGAGCATTCATGACCTACAGAAAAGGTTGACACATGAATACGTGTTGGATGACAAATGAAAACCCAAATACTAAATTAAGAATCAAACTTATTTCCGGCTGTTATCAAGCTTCAATAACATTTGACCAACTAAATCATATAACTGTGCTTAATCATTACATCTACTTCAAACCACTTTAACTGACTCTCACTTCAA